GGAGAGATATACAGTCATCGTACAGATTTAGGGTTTGGAAACGAATATGAAGGAAATTATAATCGTGATAACAAGAGAGGAAGTAATCGGACAGAACAATACTATAAGAATTTATACGACCATGATGACTACAAATTTACACAGAATAGGTCCCAATCCATAGCAAAAAAGAAAGAAAGAAAGAGTTTAAACTGGACACAAGTTCGTCAGCAAACAAGTCTTTATACAATGACTAAAATACCGAAGGAATCACCTGTAGCCGAGCTGCAAGGGGACTATTTATTTAATAAAACAGCAAAATTTTTCATAGATACAGGAGTAGATATAAATGTCATTAAAGGTTCAGCACTAAAAGGCTGTGCCCCAGTAAACAAAAATGAAAAATCATATATAACTGGAGTAACCTCAGACTGGATATATACTTTAGGAACTATAGAAATAGAGTTATTAGGTAATAAACACGTCTTTCATGTAGTAGAAGAAAATTTTCCGATAGATGGTGACGGGGTAATAGGAAAACCATATTTGAGGGATGAAAAAGAACGTATAGATGTTTTTTTTAACATTATAATATCATCATACAAACCTATTGATCCAATATCTTTAATAGATAAAGAAGCATCTGCAGAAGAAAAATTTGTAATGAAAGGAAAGAATTCTAGCTTGATTCACCCTTTAATCGAAAAACAGCACGAATTAGGAAGCGTTGGACATTCTAATGAAGAAAGAGTACCGATTAGAAGAAAAGCTGAAGATGACATTAAAGAAAAAGAAACAATAGTATGTGTTACTACGACAATAAAAAGTACGGATGTAGAAAATAAAATAGTCGAAGAATGAACTCTTACAAATAAAAGTAAATTATCAGAAAGTAAGATAAAAAAAAATATATTACCAGAAAGGGATTTTCAACAAGAAATGCTGACAAGAGAGTTAGAATCTATAGGAAAAAAGGACGCGTTAATGCTAGAGGAACATTCTTATTTTGGAGACGACCACATGTTTGGAGAAATCAAAAATATGAAAAATATTGAGACAACAGAAGAATTAGATGCAGAAGAATTTAAAAAACACAAATGTTGGGACGATAAATCAGAACCAAAATCAATGGGTGAAATAATCAAAGAGCCACAAGATATGAATAACATGATACAAGCCTGCTCCTTTATACCAGAAGAAGAGAGAATTGATAAAGAAGAAGGAATATTTTCAAAAGATAGAACCAAAAATCTACTTATGGGAAGGGAAATAATGGAAAATAATAATATTTCCTTTTTTATTGAAAAAGAAAATAAACCGGGACCAGATATAGAAATTTGTAAAAAAACATGTTGTGTTGACAAAAATAATAAACAAAGGAATAAAACACAAAAGACAAGAGAGAAAAAGGAAACGTTCATGGAAAATTAAAATAAAACTGACAGAAGTAGATGAGGAAAAGTGACCAATTGCTATACGATTAAAACCACGTACAATAGGACAGACAAACCAGGAAAACAAAAGAAGAATAAAATTATTTTCTGACCAAATAAGCGACATCAGGGAAGAACTCAATACTAAGAAAGAAAATGTTTTTGAAAATATTTACAAGATTGAAGCGAATAGAACAAAGAAATTTTCACCATACCGCCGAAGCCCTTATAAAGTTACGAAAATAAATGGAAAAAACAACTTGAATTTAAGTAATACAGCAAGAAAAAGGTTCCGCAAAAGCAAAGATCAAGTCAAAAGATCGCATTCTTGACAAAACGATGATAAATTTTTTTTAATAAATAAAGAAAGATTAATATACATCTACACCGATGGCAATCGTAAAAATTTTTAAAAGGGCATGCTCGAACTAGCATTAAATTATAGTTACTTCAATATCATGGAAAAGGCACAGAATAAATAAACTAATAATAGTGCAAAAATTGAAGCAATGTTCAAAGCCATCGCTATATAGTAGAATTAGGGTTTATGCAAATTCTAAGTTTGCAAGTAACAAATTAATAAACTGGTTGCTAAAATAGCAAAATAACGCCACAAACGCGAAATACGTATTAATATTAATTCTGAAAAAATAAGCAATATAATAAAGGGATAAGTCGTAGAATTAATTTTTACAAAAACCTGATTACAATGGTAAAGTAAGAAATAAAGAAGTAAAAACTATAAAAAAATTAGCGTCAGTGCTAGAAATATTAATAACAGATAAATAAAATAACTTATATACAGGTCGATAATAAGATATAACTATTATACCAATAAAGAAACGAATAACAAAATACAATATATTAGATATTTAAGACTATCTGTCTATTAGGTAAATTAGAAAAGGTTTTAAATGATTACTAAATGGGTATAAGATAATATTTTAAAAAAAAGGGACTAGTGACAAATGGAATTATAGAATTTTTTTTTAAAAATAGGGTTAAGAAAACTAAGGTTAAAAAAATAGGAAACAAAATAGAAAAATTGAATCAAATTGTTAGGGACGGAATTTCCGTCACTTTATAATTTTTTTTTAATCATTATTTATTCATAATTATCTTTCAAATTATTATATTATAAAACACAACACACATTATTATTCTCATTGTGAATATTTTTAATTATTATTTCGAAGGTCTTTTCATGTACTTTATTTATAATGAATTGTTAAATTGAAATAAGTTACAAAATAATAACATGATCTAAATTCTTATTGTATCATTTAAATGTGGGTCTTCAATATATGACAGTTACTTAATCCCTTTGGAAGATTAAGTAATATTAATGAAAATTATAAGTAGAGTAGGTGATTGAATGTATCACTGCCCCAGTTAAAAATGCAACGTTGTTGAAATTGCATGAAAATAAGGAGAAGTCAGTTGCAAAATCAACTCTCCTTCTACATGAATCGGGAGTGATCATTGTCACCAAACTCATTGTTTAAGAGAGTTTAAATAGTCGGTCTTTCGGCCAGTAATCATCGAATGATCAGTATTCGTTCAAGTGTTCAGTATCATTTCCCGCAAAGGCGGATGTTGTGTTGATTCCCGCAAAAGGCGGATGATTATATTATTGAAGTCCCACAAAAAGTGGTTGAAGTTATTAATTAATCCCCAAGTAAGGGTTGATCTGTGTTAAATAATAATAAATACAAGTGTCTTGAAAATATATAAAAATAAATTGAGAAATTCATTATAACTAAATAAAGAAGAGAAGACTTCCGCATACCTAAATATCAAGTGACAAACAACGAGTAATACGATACTTTTCTGTAACGATTATAATTCTGGTGAGTCTCTTTAAATAATTGTGTTTAATAAAACAGTTTCTTGTGTTTCGAATCTATCTTGTTGATATTTGTGAGACTTGACGTAAGTCAAGTAGCTTAATTATTGAATTTTGTAATAAACCTTTCTTTGCATGTATAAAACAAATACTTTGAGAATAATTTGTAATAAATTGAGTGTTAATTTAATTTGACTCTATTTATTTATTTTCACATTGAATTACTTTGTCTCATATTTCTTTTAACATTTTCTCTGAAATACCGTCTATCCGGGTTTATTGAATTGATAATTTACTGAGAGGTAGTCCACTACCTTATTCTAAAATTATTTAGCGAAGAGCATTTACGCTTTCCAAATAAGCGGAATTGTTAAGTAATAAAAATTAGTATTTTTCTAAAATATTTATTATTTCTCGTCAAGTTATCTATTTTGTTTTTCTTTTGTTAATTAACATCCGTCTTTAACAAAATGGTGGCAGCGGTGGGATTTATCGCTCATATTTTTGAAAAAATGTTTTAAAAAAAAGAAAAAGTTGAGACTTTAGTAAAGAGTGAAAAATAAATTTTCTGTCTGAAAACACACATGAATTAAAACACTCACAAATACACAGTAATTATTTGAAGTAAATTGAGATAAAAAAATGATGAAATTGAATTGATGTTGAAATATTTGTTTATTGTTTCCATGTTTTAATGTATTATTTTTCAGACAAAATTTTTTGTTTGGGTTTTTGTCAAGTGCGCGAGTAGAATTTTTTTGTTATTTTTATTTTGGTTCGCTAACGTCGAACTGAGACACAGTAACTACCCTTGCATTCGGCAAGCTCTGGTTTCTCTAAAAATTCGGTAAAAATTCCTCGACTTAACCTTGCCGGAAGTGTGTAGCCACTTGGGCAAGTGAGAGGCTTAAAATCACGAAAAGTTTACAAAACAGGAGTTAGATTTTATTGTTTGAATATAAAATTTCAAATGTATAATTCTTCTAAATGCGAAGAAAATAAATTAGAAAGACAACGTAAACTTCGTGCACACATTTTAGCTAGAAGAAATATTAGTCCAGAAAGATTTGATGCGGTAAAAAGACAATTATTCGTCGGAAAAGAAAAAGTTAAAGATACGCGTTCAGAAAACAATTACAGCTCACTAGCACAATCATTGCAAAATTTGAGCATGACAGGTAATTAAAAGTTTGATTAATTAAAAGAAATAAACGACCTTGCTATAGATAGGTTACGGGATTAGTGCGTTAATCGTATTTCAAAACATTGCGAGCACCAAGTCACAGTAAGAGTGCTGAGTTGACAAAGTATACAGTTGAAAGAAATTAAATTAATAAGATAAATAAAATAAAAACATAATGTGTTAATAAAAGAATTTAAAAAAAAAATTATCGAGAATATTTTTTTTCTTTTTATTTTACAATTGATTTAAATAAAAAGAATCTAATAATTTAAACAAAGTTTTTTTTTTTAATCGTTTGAGTGAGATTTCTTTGCGATAGAAGAGTAGAGAAAATATGCAATAAGAAACCGGGTCTTATTACAGAGTTATATGAGTATTTAAAAGACATTTATTTCGAAATAATAAATTGGGAATTTACGATTATTTTATTTCACGAGTGTTATGAAATTAAACAAATTTTAAAAGTTTTAAAATAAATATCTGTGATTTTTGCCAGATATAATCAATAAAAAGAATTGATTTTTTTTTATGTTGAGATTTTTTTTTTTGAGAGATAATCATGACGGATCGGGAAGGAAACGGTGAACGGCGTCAATCCGGTAATGAAAATCAAGGACATATTGACAATCCTTTCGCGGAAAACAGACGCGAAAATTTCAATGCAACAAATGTAGCTGAATTATATAGGGACAGGACAGATTTAGGTTTCCAATCAATTTTACCTCTGCAGCGACCATTTGTCGCAAATGATGAAGAAAATGCAGGTATCGCGGCGGCTCGCTCTATTGCTGATAGCTTAACAATACAAAATGCCCTAATGGAAATAAAGGTTTATGATGGAAAGAACATGTCGGTCAAGGATTTTATTCAAGATGTAGTGGTAGCTGCTTCGAAATTTCCCCCCGAATATGAAGGAACGTTAATTACTTCGGTTTTAGGAAAATTAACAGGTCCAGCGAGAGACTGTACAGACAACAAGCAATTTGCTAGATTGACCGATATAATAGAGCTTTTAAAAGAAAGATTTGCACCAGGACAAGCGTTTGAAGTGTATTATGCAGAAATTATGAATTTAAAAATGTACAGGAATGAAAATTTACCTGACCTTTATGATAGATTATTGAGATTACTTAGCGGGGCAAGTTCAGCCCTACGCGCTACATTCGATGCTAACACAGAGGCAGTAACAACCAATGTTGTGAAACATACAGCATTAAAAACGTTTGTTAGAGCGTTGCCAGATGAAATTGCGAACGCAGTAGATGCACGTGCGCCTAGAAATTTAGAGGAAGCATACAAATACGCAAAAGCGGCGCAAGAAAGAAAAATGCAACCGATTACAGGGGGTTATTCGTCATATATTACCAATTATAACGATAATAGTCAAAGAGTCATGAAAACTCGATGGGAAGAACAAAATGATTTTAAGGGTTACAGGAATTACGATGAAAGAAGAGATAAAAATAGATATAATACCGGAAATCGGTCTAGTAGGGGACGATATCAGGATTCGGAAAATTATCAACCAAGGTACGAACAAAGAGAGGAGAGAAATTATAATATAAATTATGGTGAAAATAATTATGGGAAAACTCAGGATGATAATACAGGGCGTAGCAACGACTATAACGACCCTAGACTTTACAACCCTAACGCGGATAGAAACAACTGGGAAAATAGATATCAAAGTCCAAGTAGATACATACAAGAAAATTGCTATAATACAAACGGGCCCAGAGAAAATTGGGAAAACAGATACCCCACAGATTATGCAAATAAAGAAAGAAATAATTACTCTAATAGTAGAACAGCATCGGTAGAAAGAAATAATAGTAACAGTCCTTTAAACTGGGAACTTGCTCGTCGAGAAGACGCGACGATGGGCTCGGACAATCAAATGCGTCCAACTACGGTGTGGTTTCAGGAAACCCCATCACCTTGAAAATACGTGAAACAGTCACGGAATCACCTGCAGTAAAATTACCTGGGAATTATTTAGTAGGAGGAAAAGCAAGTTTTCTTGTAGATGCAGGGGCGGATATTAACATTATAAAATCTGACGCGTTAAGCCCTGATGCGCCAGTTAGAACCTCTGAAGCATCGTACATGACAGGAGTGTCAAAAACTAGATTTTACACACTAGGCACAGTAGAAATTACAATATTTGATAAACAATATACTTTTCATGTAGTAAAACCTAATCTTGAAGTAAAAACAGATGGTATAATAGGAAGACCTTATTTAAATGTCTTTTACAACTTTTTACTGACGGCGTCTAAGCCAGTACAACCTATCCCATGCATAGATCAGGAAACACATACTAATTACATTAAGCCTAATGCTAGGAATTTCGAATTTGATCAACGAAGGGTAGTTAACCACGATACTTTACAGAAATCATATGAAGCACATAATGCAGATTTTATTAGATGGGAAAATAAAGAAAATTATGATAATCAAGAATATTCAAATAACATATCAATGGTGGATAATAAACCATCTTCTGAATCTAGAAATGTAGATGACAATAGAAGTCATTTTCCAGCATGTAATACCATTGTTGAACTTAATAAAATTGGAAGAGGGCAACCCACGGTAGAGTTGGAAGTAAATTATCTTGTAGGTGATAAAACTCTATTTTTTGAAGATAATGAGGCTAAAATAAATATTATAAAAGCTACAGTATTGCGAACTGATGCGCCAGCAAATACAAAAGATGTAACGTGTATTAAAGGAGTTTGTTGCAAGGATTTATATACAATAGGGACAGTTGAATTAGAAATTCTTGGAATCAAATCTCTCTTCCACATAGTAGATTCCACATTTCCTATTTCAGCAGAAGGACTTTTAGGAAGACCATTTTTATTCAAAGAAAAATCAAATAGCTGGTTCCTCTACAAGAAACAAAAATTACAATTGAAATCAGTAGTACCTGATGCTTTTATGGACCCTGAATACAGAAGAATTGAAAGGTGCTCAGGAAAGCAAGTAGTGAGAGAAAAACTACCTCCTATAAATAGTGAACTGAGAATCAAACCTAAAGTCATCGTGAAACCAAAGGAAACAACAGAGGAAACCAAACCTATTTCACCAGAATTGAGGACTAAGGTAGAAAAGAGGTTAGAAGAAATAAGGAAATCTCGAAAGGTAACTATTACTATAATAAATCGACTGATGCATAGTAAACTAAAAACAGAAACGTTACAAATACATACTATGAACATGTCAAAAGAAGAAAAAGAAGCCAAACAAAAAGAATCTATATTAATCGATAAAAATAAAGAGTCTATTCAAAATAATCGCAATCGGTTGGTCAATGAAGAAGACTCATACCTTCAGAATTATCCAGTTCTTAAATATGAAGAAGAAGAGGTGAAACAAAAAGAGTCTAAGGACAATCAATTGTTTTCAAATAATGAACAAACAGAAGAAGAAACAGGAAAAAAATTGAAAATAAACGAGAAGAAAACAAAGGAAAATGCAAAGAAAAAAATAAAAGACATTGATAAAACAAAAAATAACTCTAGATGGATGAAAATTTTATTTAGTCAGATACTATGGGGTAGAAGACAGTAAAGAATAAATAAAATTAATAGAAGATCAACTGCGAACAGGAATAAACAAAAGTGACTAGTTAAAATCTGTGCATAAAGGATTAAATATATCCAAGTCAGGTACTAAAGTACAAACAAAAAAAATAAAACAGAAAATATGGGAGAAAATGTAACATGTATATATATATTTTAAAATAATGGGAGTAATTATTATTTAATATGGTATAAACGTCATATATACATAATATGATATATTACAGGGATTAAATTTTATAAACATAAGATTTACAAAAATACAAAAACACTAATAGGAAACTGGGAATAATTAAGATATAGATGTAACCAATTGGGTTACAAATCATTAAATCACATAACAAGTAAGAATTTTAATTTTAGATTTTTTTTTATCATAAAAAAAAATGGGTATAATTTATGAATTAAATTAAAACATCATATTGTTCTAACTCTAACTATTTAAACTGAATATTTAGAATTAACAAAATATATGAGTAAAAATAACTAGCTTGGTTTATGTACACTAATTGAAATTATAAATATAGGTAACTATACATATTGGAAATAATTTTAAATTATAAAAAAAGGGAAATTACGTAAAATTGAAATAATTTTTTTTTTTTGTGATCAGCAACAGAAACTATATGCTTCTCACAAAGATCATTTATACTTTCAAAAAATGTATTTATGCGACAATCATGCTTTTAATTAGGGTAATTTTTGTTATTTGGGTTTTAATTGTCAAAAAAAATTGATTTATTTATTTTCATGTCATTTTCAAAAATTGAAATCAATTTTTTAAGTGGTATATTCTGCATGCATTCAAACTTTAAAATTTACATGTATTAAAAAATTTATTTATCTAACTCCCCAAGATATAAAGATTTTTTTAAAATTTAAGTTCAATTATCTTTAAACAATTCTAAAAAATTCAAACTTGGAAAAATTAAATTTGTTTCAAACTAAAATTTAAAAATAATTAACAAAGAATTTTTGTTGTCGATTTAAAAAGCTGTCAGGGGACGACAGCAAGAAAAAGAAGGGTCAGGGGTTGGAGAATATTTTTTTTTTAATATTTAGTCTCCAACATATTTTTTTATTATTATTTTATATTAAATATATTCATAGACTGTGTATTAAAAGTTAAATATATAAAAATTAATGCCACTTTAAGTTGGTCAATAATTGTAATCTATAAATCGTGAAAATGTAACCATTTTTTTTGTAAACATTTTTTTATTATATGCACATTAATAAAATTGGATATATAAGGAGATACATATATAACACATTTTTCTTTCTTTATTATTTTATTTGTATTCTTTACAATTGCTACGTAAGCAAAGTGTTCCAGATCTCCATTTATTTCTTATTATTTTATTATATATCCTTGTATTCAAATTTGGTCTCATTTTTTTTTATCAAAAAAAAAATTACAACATTTTTTTTTTCTCTTACATATGAAAACTAATTTATCCTTTTCATAAAAATCTTCCTAAAACAAAAAAAAGAGGAAACGACTATTTACTATTTAAAAAAAAATATATATATATATATAAAAAAAAAGGAAAAATCAGTTTTCGTTCTAACATTTATTTCAGCTACTAAACAAACTACACCACTTTCATGATCAAGGATAAATTGTAAACATTTTAAAATGTATATCTATGAAAGGAATTTTGTAAAAAAAATTATATTCGATGACATCACACCTGCACAGGCTGCCAAGGGACGTCAGCCAGAAGGAAGGGGGGTATTTGTTAGGGACGGAATTTCCGTCACTTTATAATTTTTTTTAATCATTATTTATTCATAATTATCTTTCAAATTATTATATTATAAAACACAACACACATTATTATTCTCATTGTGAATATTTTTAATTATTATTTCGAAGGTCTTTTCATGTACTTTATTTATAATGAATTGTTAAATTGAAATAAGTTACAAAATAATAACATGATCTAAATTCTTATTGTATCATTTAAATGTGGGTCTTCAATATATGACAGTTACTTAATCCCTTTGGAAGATTAAGTAATATTAATGAAAATTATAAGTAGAGTAGGTGATTGAATGTATCACTGCCCCAGTTAAAAATGCAACGTTGTTGAAATTGCATGAAAATAAGGAGAAGTCAGTTGCAAAATCAACTCTCCTTCTACATGAATCGGGAGTGATCATTGTCACCAAACTCATTGTTTAAGAGAGTTTAAATAGTCGGTCTTTCGGCCAGTAATCATCGAATGATCAGTATTCGTTCAAGTGTTCAGTATCATTTCCCGCAAAGGCGGATGTTGTGTTGATTCCCGCAAAAGGCGGATGATTATATTATTGAAGTCCCACAAAAAGTGGTTGAAGTTATTAATTAATCCCCAAGTAAGGGTTGATCTGTGTTAAATAATAATAAATACAAGTGTCTTGAAAATATATAAAAATAAATTGAGAAATTCATTATAACTAAATAAAGAAGAGAAGACTTCCGCATACCTAAATATCAAGTGACAAACAACGAGTAATACGATACTTTTCTGTAACGATTATAATTCTGGTGAGTCTCTTTAAATAATTGTGTTTAATAAAACAGTTTCTTGTGTTTCGAATCTATCTTGTTGATATTTGTGAGACTTGACGTAAGTCAAGTAGCTTAATTATTGAATTTTGTAATAAACCTTTCTTTGCATGTATAAAACAAATACTTTGAGAATAATTTGTAATAAATTGAGTGTTAATTTAATTTGACTCTATTTATTTATTTTCACATTGAATTACTTTGTCTCATATTTCTTTTAACATTTTCTCTGAAATACCGTCTATCCGGGTTTATTGAATTGATAATTTACTGAGAGGTAGTCCACTACCTTATTCTAAAATTATTTAGCGAAGAGCATTTACGCTTTCCAAATAAGCGGAATTGTTAAGTAATAAAAATTAGTATTTTTCTAAAATATTTATTATTTCTCGTCAAGTTATCTATTTTGTTTTTCTTTTGTTAATTAACATCCGTCTTTAACACAAATAATCATATACTGTAGAAATTGATTAAAATAAAATATGCTTTAAAATTTTTTTATTCAATGGGAACTAATGCTAAAAATATGTAATTCAACAATTAAAAAATATAACTTTTGATGGTGGTTTAGATTAAAATTGAAAGAAAAAAAATAGGAAAAGAACTAGGCGCAATTGCGCCTACATCTAGGGTTTCGTGGCGCTTTAAATTTTAATGTCAACTACTGGGACCTGTCAACTATAGGGACATGTCAACTATATGGACATGTCAACTATTGGGACATGTCAACTATTGGGACATGTCAATTACTGAGACATGTCAACTACTGGGACATGTCAATTATAGGGGCATGTTAACTAA